CCAGAAATATGCCCGGTACCGAGCCAGATAGAGAACCTCTCCGAACCATGTGCCCATACCGAGCCAAGTACCATACTGTCGGTCCAAAGTAGCACTACCTCATGCTGTCCACGCGACTCCCGCTCTCGGAACACCCCATCTTTGGTAAGATTAGTAAACAAGTAAATTAGGGAAAACGACGTAGGGAATCTCGACCATCGGCAGTAGTGAAAACTGTTAGAATCTTGAGAAAATGATCTTTCCGGGGTCAGAGTTGATGGCGGGTGATCAAGGCGAAATTTAACCCATCTCCCAATTGTCATCGTTTCCCGTCCCTTTCATTGTTCTTAATCATTCTTCCTTTTTCTCAATTCTATTGTCGAAAAAAGTAAATCAAGCATAAATTCCTCAAAATTAAATTCCGAGAAAGTATATATATAGGACCAGATTTCTTTTGTTTCTTTTCTCTTTCTCTATTTTTAGTATTTTTCTATGCTTTTAAATTTATTGCCGAGATCATAAAATACAAGGGTTTTCCCCCCTAGTTTTAAATGCCGTGTAAAATGAGGAAATTAAGGGATATTATGTTTTTYMCTTCTCCCCATCTGGTCTTAATCCCTTTTTCCCCATCTCTAATTATGGTACTAAAATAGACAAAAATTCGAGGCCCCATTCCGGCCCCGGTCGTATGCTGCAAAAACGTTGCGGCGAGGTCTGTTCCCGCGATGCCTCTCCGTGGCAGGCCAATCTGGGTCCAACTCTCTGAACGGCCAGAAATGACGGTCTCCAGCTAAGTCGAGTGCGCTCACCCATCTCGCTATCTTTGAGGGCTACTCGTAAGGTTCACCACGCCCAAAGTCAAGGGTGCCAAAAGTTCCTATAATTTTTGCTGCCTGGTCGAACCAGAGTATTGTCAAAACACGGACTTGCCTTTGAGCCTAAGCCCCAAAACCGCAGATTTCAGGCGGCACACTGCTTGTGGCCGCCTGACAGTTAGCCCGGACCACTTCTCGACGCCCCCATCGAGCCCTATCCACTTACGTCAAACGAAGCGGACGAGCTTCAGGGTGATTGCCCGTAAAGGACGCCCACGTCGGCGTTTAATCGTCTTAAGTTTTGGTTTGTTATGAGTCATGAGACTAAGAAGATGCTTCTCGACTTTCCTTTTCTTTCGGGTTCTTGGCCTTGGCACGGTCCTCTTTTTCTTCTGACGCTGGCCCGAGGGAGGTGCCGAGCCACTTGTTTGCCTAATGCGAGCTCACCGTCTGGCCCTCTTGAGCACGAATAGCCATTTCTTCTCTCTTCCTAATGCCAACCCTTTGACCTTTCTTTTCTCTATTATTTTCCTCTTCTTGGAACTTTCCCCTGCCTCGAATCGTCTCGAGGGGGCTCCATCCTCCATTTTGGCCTTCCCTTTCCCTCTCGGGCTTGTCAACGCTAAGGTGGGTGCAGGCCTGGGTCTAAACAACTTTAACCTAGCCCCCGCCACTGGGTCCTTCCACTTGGATCCGTCTAACTCTGCTATCATATAGGCACCCCAGTCGAGTGCCTCAACCACTCTGTAGGGTCCCATCCATCTGTTGGCAAGTTTTCCGGTCCAGGTCCTTTCCAGCGCTGCGTCATAGAGGAGGACCATATCTCCTACGTCCACCCTCTCTTTCCTGATCCGCACGCTCTTATCCCATCTCTCTTTACCTTTGTTCCTCTCTACTGCTAGACGATCTGTCGCTGTCATAAGGTTGTCTTTCAAACCGTAGGCTATCTGTCTTGTCCGGGCAGCTATGAGTTCCTCGCTGGACATCTTCTCCGCCCAGTCGACGGTTGTCCAACTGTCGACGTGAAACTCTATGGGGAGCGGACAATGCCGCCCAAACCACAAGGTATATGGTGGATATCCAGTGCTAGCCCGGACCGTGACGTTGTCCGCCCATATCGCGTATCGAAAATATCGTGGTCAATCACTGTCCTTACCTTTGCACCACTTAGATAGTGACGCTATCAGAGTTTGGTGTCCCCTTTCCACTGGAGAGTTCGATTGTGGATGGTAGGCGGTGGCTATCGAAACTCTCGCTCCGGCTCTCTTGAACACGCTCTGAACCTCGTCAGCTAGAAACTCCGCCCCTCTGTCCATCACTATTCTGCTGACACAACCATACCTAGATAAGTACTATAGGACGAAGTTCTTCACTTCCTTTGCCGTCTTACTCCTGATAGGTCTTCCGTCCACGAACCCAGTGCAGTTGTCTCGTATGTTCACAACGTAGTTCATATTGCCTACTCCTTTCGACATCTTCACCAGATCGATGTGCACCTTCTCTCCTGGCCTGGTCGGATAGGATGAATGAAGTGGCTCTTTGTATTTCACAAGAGCTCTCTTCTGGCACTCCTCGCAGGTTATACAATATCTCTCGACGTCCTTATACTGTCCTTCCCACCAGTACAACCTGCGTACCTTTTCGTAGGTCCCTTTGACTCCTCTATGTCCCCCGACTACTCCTTTGTGAAGCTCCGCAACTATCGTCTGTCTCTCCTCAGGATCACAGACTACTCGTCAGGGCATCCCCGACCCTACTGACCTTCGGAAAAGGTGGCCCGCTCTAAGGCAGTACTGGGCCGCTTGTCTCCGGATATCTGAATCTTGACTCCCCTCTCCTGACAGGTGTAGCCCGATCGTTCGGTACTATCCCTCGTAAAGGTTAACCAGAAATCGTTCAGCGCATCTCGGCTCTGCCAATGTCAGGGCTCCAACTACTATCGGGCGCTCGGCCTCAAGAGGGATCCGCGAAAGCCCATCTGCCACAACATTTTTAGCTCTAGATATCCTCTCAACTGCGTAATCATATAACCGAATCCGTATCAACCATCGAGCAATGGTCGGGTCCGTCAGACTAAAGTCCTTCTGGAGGACAGAGGCAACTGCTGTGGGATCTACTCTCAAGATGAACCACTGTCCATAGATATAATGTCTGAACGTGTCTAGACACCGTAGAACAGCTAACACTTCCTTCTTGAATTGACTGTAGTTACGTTCTGTCATATTAAGTGTCCTACTCTCAAATCTTAACGGTATTTCCTTCCCTCCAGCGTCCTTCTGAGATAGCAGTCCTCCGACTGAACAAGGTCTAGCATCCGTGGATACTATGAAGGGTCTCCCAGCCTCATCATCAAAGAATGGCATGCCCAGTACGTGTCCTCCCTCCTTAAATTCGTCTTTAAGCTCTTGCATAGCGAGTTCCTGCGAGGAATCCCAGTATAATTTTTCAGTCTTTCGAAGGAGTAACCTCAATGGCTCGGCCTTCTCCGCATACCCCCGTATGAATATCCGCCAGTAACTGACCACTCCCAGAAACTGCCGGACCTCGGTTGGACTATGTAATGGTGACGACCAGTTTAGGAGTTTGTCTAGCTTCGCCGGATCTGCTCGGCGTCCTCTCGAGTCACAGATAAAGCCCAAGATCTTAATAGTCGAGACGGTCCATCGGCTCTTTGTTCCGTTGACCGTCAAATTTGCATCGTCTAACTGCTCGAGAACCGCGCAAATATTGGTTAGGTGCTGCTCGACGAATCTCCTAACTCCTGATACAACTTATGTCTCGTCTTTCTGGACTGGTCCCTTAATAGGGAAGTCATTCAAAAAAACTCCAACCTTGTCAGGAATGAAGTCCTTGAGGACGGCTACCATAGCTCTCTGGAATACTGCTACCCCGTTAGTCTAACCCATAGGGACAACCATCATCTGTATCAGTCCCAATGGCGAGTGCATAGTCGTGAGGTGCCTGTCTCTAGGATCAAGCGGGACCTCATCATAGCCTGAGAACAGATCACAGACCGAATAAATCGACCTGCCTTCGGCCAATAGGTCGACGTGTGGCACGGAACCCACGTCTCGTATCGTCACCGCGTTGACCTTCTGAAGGTCTTGGATCCACCGGATCTTGCCATTTGGCTTTCGTAGGAAGAACCACCGATTAGCATAAGCGCTATCAGATGGCTCCGCAACATGGAAAACCATCTTTTCTTTCAGGAAAGCGATAACTTCTTCCTTCTCCCTCTGTGCGTATTTCCACCCTGCGTCATTCCATGGAACATGTGGAATCGGGTAAATCTTTGTTGGCTTTGTGTAACGAGGGTCAATCCTACCGCGCTCCGCGTCGCTGAAGGTTATAGCCTTATCGCACGTCTTTAGGATCTCTATCACACGCTCCCGCTCCTGAGGAGTCAGGTTCCCATCTCCGATGTCCATCCCTGCTATCCTCTCTTCCGTCAGGCGTTGCGACTCCTCTCTCTTCCTCTCCTTGATTTCCTTTGCGATCTCTTCTTCCGATTTCCTTTCCAGTGCAGATCACTCGTGGCCCACCGCCGCTGGCTTAACCTTCTGAGTTACTCGCTTGTGTCGCTTGGGTAGCCCCCCATAGGATGTCGTGCCCTTAAAAAAGACACAGATACCACACCGCCAAATTCCTCATCTGTCTTCTTTGGGTACAAGTTGCCATCCACTATCAGCCGACTCCCTAAATCTTCCACTTCCACGATCTGACCTTCTTCCTCTGTGAACAGTGATCCATACTTTTTATCGCGAAATCGCACCGCGCGGCCGGAGATAGGTAATGACTTAATCTGATCACCGGGTCCTGCTCCTACAGCGAGAGCTGCTCTGTTCCTCAGGTCTCGAGGCTCCACCGTCTCAATCATAACCCGCGTCCCATCTAGCTTCTTAATGGACAATGTCTGGCTCCCGTCCGGTCGCTCTATCGTCACTGCATGCACGTGGCTCAACCACGTTCGTCCCAAGAGCAGATCGGAGCTGCATTTCTTGACTGCAAAGACAGGCAGGGTCACTCGTACTCCTTGGACCTCTATAGCTGCCTTGTGACAAACCCCGGTGATCTGTTGCTTTCTCCCATCAACCGTTTCTATCTCGAATAGGTATGACCTATCGAGGCCCAATCCAACCTGTACTGCCAGATCCTCGTCTATAATGACAGCCTCACTGCCGTTATCGATCACAACATCTAGTACCACTCCATCGTTTATGATCGCCTTCCACGGCCCCACTACCAAGTATGTAAAACTTGTCTGGAGACACACCTTTCATCCCATCAAGAAGGACTGTCGCCATGCGATCCGCTCTAACAGTCACCCCTGTTACTGCTATAGTAGGAGCATCCGCCTTAGGGCCCTCCTGAGCCTCCTCTGATAGAGGTATGCGAGTCTTCCGTCGTGAGCCGGCTTCGATGCCGTCAGGTACTCCAGAATAGAGCACTGCATGGGTTGCCGAAGGGCCCGTCTCAGCGGCTTGACCGTGTCAATCTCATCTAGCGAACTTTTCATCAATAACTTCTCCACTCCCCGCTTCCGCGGTGAAAGAATAACCTCCTCTCTATCGATCCGCTGTCCGTCCTTCTCCGCCGTCACGTAATCCGTGTCAGTCTTCTTCGATGTAGACCCTCTTGCGGACTTGGTAGTTGCCACCCTTATGGGTGTGGTCGCCATGTCTCCTTCGAAAGTTATCTTGATGCTCTGGCTCCTGACCGGCTCCTTTCCTTTACTCGACTTTACTCTCCTTGCTTCGACATTCTCCTTCATCGAAAGGAACATCGATACGTCTCCCAGATCATTTGCCCACTTGATGTACTTGCGGTCATCAAACACGACAAATCCCTCATCTATTGCCCGTTTGAGATCCGGACAATCTCTTTTGATATGATCATCTCCTCTGCAGTAGACGCAAGAGTTCGTAGAAGTGGATGGCCTGTCGTCTGCGCTCCTAGAGATCGAACCCCTGGCTGCTCTGGGGTCAGGGGACTTTGGATACGGATCAAATGACACGCCATATCCTCCTCTCTCATTCCTGCTGTGCGAATCATTGCGGCGGTCTCCATGTTCGTATCGCCCGCGTGAATCATCACGTCGGTCTCCTCGGTCGTATCGCCCGCGTGAATCATCATGTCGGTCTTCTCGGTCGTATCGCCCGCGCGAATCATCACGTCGGTCTCCTCGGTCGTATCGCCCGCGCAAATCATCACGTCGGTCTCCTCGGTCGTATCGCCTGCGTGAATCATCACGTCGGTCTCCTCGGTCGTATCGCCCTCGTGAATCATCACGTCGGTCTCCTCAGTCGTATCGCCCGCGCGAATCATCGGGTCGATCCCCTCTCTCATATCTGCCACTCTTGTATCCGTCTCGATCCAACCTCTCATATCTGTCGTCCCTATGTCCATCTCGGTCCGACTCTCATATCTGCCATCCCTGTACCCGTCTCGGTCCGATCTCTCATATCTACCATCCCTGTATCCGTCTCGCCGACCCTGATCCAACTCCCACCGGCCTCGAGAGTCGCCTCTACCCCCGTCAGGCTCATAGCGAGGGCTACGCGAGTAGTCATCTAGTCTCCTAGCTCGCCTTTACGTCTCGCGAGTCCTGCGGTCCCGGTCTATCTCATCATCCCTACTTCGCCATGGCTCATCGTCTCTCTCCCTTTCCCTCACACGATAATCAGTCAACTTTCGAGGATTTCTTTCCTCAACACTCCTCCAGGAATCAGTGTTCCTTCGGTCCCAGCGAAGTGAATAGGGCCCTCCGGGCTTGTCCCGGTATGTCGTGACTCCTGTGGTGGTCACAATCTCTGTAACCTGTTTTGTCAATCCCTTTACCATGTCCCTTATCTCCTTCACTTCCTCCACCACGGCTTCATTCTTCTCCGACCAGGGATAGTCCTTGAAATCAGGACGTCTATCAGTGGCATACTCCTTGTAGAGCGAGAAGTCACGTCTCCTCATCCCTCTCCACACCAAGTTCTTGTAGTCGTCTGCCTCTGCCTTTATCGCGAGCTTTAGGACTTCTGGGAAGTCAAGCTTGTCGCGCGGAAGATCTCTAAGTATACTCTTTTGCCTACCTTTGGACAGGTGTCCGATGAAGATAGTACAATGCTCAACCTATGAGATTTTACCCTTCTTCATCAGCACGTCGGAGATCTCATCTTCATCTTGAGTCATTGTCTCAAGGACCTTGATGGAGTATTTGTTATCCTCCAATTTGTCAAGCTCAACGAGGTTCTTTTTGTACGTAGTCCATTTCCCATCCTTCGGTCAGGCTTCCTTAACTTCCTTGCCGAGACTTGGGTCCACATTAAATATGAAGTTTTATATAATCTCTTCCTTCGACCACTGACTCCGGCTGGCGTGAAGCTCCCACTTCTCCAGATATTCTGTGATGCCATAGCCCCTGAAAAAGGGAGGCTCTGAGGCCTTGTGCGTAATAATATACTGATCCTTGCTCTCGTAAGGGAGCGAATGCGACTCCCATGTCTGGGGGTCGAAGACTCGCCTGGGCGGCGCTCTGTCTCTATCTCTGTCCCTCCAATAGGAATCCCTCGAACTCTCTCCCAGTCGTCCCTGTGCCTATCTGTCATGGTCTCCCTTCGCTCATATTCGGGGGAGCGTTGTCTCGTTGCTTCTCGTTGGGCGCTCGAGGTTCCAGTCTTCAGAGCCTCCTGCGGCTCTGTCACGACCGGCTCACCCATTACGTCGGGCTCTCCGTCATTGGTTTGGTCAGCCCATCTCAGCGGTGCTTCCCGCCTAATCCTTTCCTTCAGATCCCTCAGTGCTCGGTCAGGCGATGTTCTGTATTCCTCCCCTTCTTCGCCCGTGGTCGGTTGTGACCCCATCGTGTCTGGTTCCATAGGCCACCAGAAGATGCAATTGGGCTCTCACGCCGGGCGTTGCAGCCCGGACCTATGACAATTGTCACAGCCCGGACCTGTTTCCTTGTCACGGTTCACGGTCGTTTTCAATCCTAGCTCTCGACTGCCCTGATTACCGCCACCAGCGCTCCGTTCCAGTCGCGGATCTCGTGCTCTTCTTCTATCCCAAGAATCCCTGTGTCTAGGTAAACCTCTCCTTCAGGATCTGCCAACAAGGTTGTGCCCCTCCGGATCTGCAGTACATCCGTGACAGGATCTCTATCCCTGCGGCAGATCGCAGTCCCAAGCCTTGCCAATGTCTCCCGATCAGCACCCCTCAAGAGCCCTCGAGCGTCTATCTTCGTCCTCCTTGCTAGGTCTCCTAGCCCGTCCTGAATCGGGTAGCCTGCTAAAGGTGGAAGCTCTTCTCCTACTGCCATTCAGAGTTGCTCGTCGACCTTTCTGACCTCCACTATCTTTTCTAGAGCTTCCAATCTCTGTTTCTCCACCTTTTACTCTCAGACTGCTATGAGGTCATCCGTCTAGCATCTGAGGAAAGTCAGTGCTACAACCACTCGTAACCTCATCGCCGACAACTCCAATATATCATAAAATGTCTCAAAATCCTCCTCATCTCCACTATCCTCTATGACCTCTAAAGCCTTTATCGATTCCCTCCAGTACCGATCGTGAGCGGCTAACACCCAAAGTATTGCACCGTCTGCTACAACTCTCCCTAACTCTCCAACTTTCTTGGCTTCACTTATCTTCAACCTCTCAGCCTCTCTAGTCGTCTCGTACCATGCCCTTATCCGAGACCGTCCTTCGAAAGGTGTCACTCGGAGTACGTACTTTATCGTTCGTCCTCCTTCTACTCCAATCCAAAGTCTTGTCCCCCTAGCCTCACGCAGCTCACGGCGGACACACTCTGCCTCCTCAACTATGCACAACCTGGTATGGAGCTAGAGCTCTACGATCACTAACACCAACGGTCCGTCCAGTCTCCCTACCACATGCAATGAGTATCTATCTGTCGTGTGTAAGGCAGTCCCACTCATGTCCTGTTGCTATCTCGCTGCGTCATCTTGCCCTCCGTCGTCACGTCCTCAGCAGACTTCTCCCCAGTTTCTTCGCGTGATACGCTCCTAGCCTTTACCCTCTCCAGAAAATCTGATCTCCACGCCTGGATAATCTCTCTTTCCTCCCTGAACAAACTCTCTAACTCTCTCGTCACGAGCTCAACCCTACGCAGCTTGCCCTCATCCTGGCACGACCCGATCTCCCTGCTTTTGTTCCCTAACTCCTTTACACGGTTCAAGAGTGGTTCTTTAATGCGCTCTCTCACTCTTCCGACCGCCTCACTCTCCTCTTCCATACTCAGTCCACATCTCCTTCCAGCTCATCCTCGTACCCTTGCTCTAGCCTCTGGTACCGCCTCATCGTGGTTGTACTCCGCGCGCATATAACCATGGGACCATATCATCACATCATAGGAAATCGAGGTCTGGAAGGTCACCTGTTCCAGTACATCGCCTCTATGCTCATGGATCAAATCCTTGGCCCGTAGTCGGCACTCCCTCGCCGTCAGGTCCTCATCTATGTATGCTCGGAGAAGTACCGTTACAGTGTACCCTGTGCTTACCAGTTGCTTATCTACGCGCATCACAGTAGCCGTCCTCCCCGACATTCCCTATGCTACGACCTCGAAGAGAAATCTCACATCCTCTAGCCCCACGTAATCAATCTCCGCCCGTCTCCTGCAGTACCTAATCAGATCGAGTGGCCTCAGACAGTCCACCCAACAAGTAACGTCGATGATGTCGTCAAGCGTCTCTCTGCTGGGCGGTCCCCACCTCACAGAAATGGCATAGTATACTTCCCTGAAACGGGGCGCTAAGCCCTCCCAAAGCGCGTAAAGTGTGTGGTTCACTGCTCTACTCAAACGATCTATGCTCCCATAGGTCTGCCCTATCACGAAGGCAGGAAGTCCGAATCGCCAATCCTCTCTCGGGTAGAGGGTCGGATGCGGAGGACCGTATACCAAGCGGCTCCAATACGTCCTCCCTCCAGAGAGTCTCGCCAGTTGCTGATTAACGATCACTCTGCCCAATAACTCGCTTCTCCACCAAGCCCTGCTTGCCCCTGCGAGTGTCAGTCCTACCTCTAAATCGTGTACTCTATCCGCTATCAGATGTCCCACCCCTTCTAGGTCATGAGTCCTTTCGGGTCGTCCGTCTTTCAATATCACTGTCCAAAGAAAAAGTCCCTCTGCCAGCCACGTATCCAACAGCCGTCTCTCTGGGTCTCACAAGTTTCCTCACGCTATAGGATTCGGACTCTCGTGAGAGAACATAAGCTAACCAGGTTACTGAGTCACTCCTCATCTCCCCTCCGACTCTCGATCAGTATCACTTTACTCCCTCCGACGCACCCTATCTCTCGACGTTGCTAACTCCTCAGACAATTCTCCCACTCAGGTCCAGTATGGTCGAGTAGGTGTTGTGCGCTCTCCCGTCTGCTCCATGGAAGTAGATAGTAAACTCGACGTATCTCCGAATCCTCCGTATCTCCAGGGCATGTTCCGTCATGAGTCTGATCTGTCGCTCAACAATGTCCAACGCCTCTCCTTCCCAGCCGCCCGTCCTATCTCGTCGTAGGGAAAGAGTCACCCTCAGTATATCTCTGTCTGCCATCCTTTCCCGCTCTTACTGCCACTCTCGTCTTGCCTAGAGATATCTACTTACCGTCTTTCCGCTACTCCCTTCTCTAAGCTAAACCCGGATACGCCCTGCCACTAATCATCTCGCGCATCTGGCATATCCTCATCTCCATCCTCATCTTCCCTCTGACCCCATGGGATATCCTCCTGTCCCTCGGCCTGAAGGAGATGTCCCCAGCTCTCGTCCTGGTCGTCCCAGGGGTCTACGTCATCGAAGTCCTCCCAATCCCGATCCTCAGCGTACCATGCTAGATCGCCAGCCTCCGGATATACCTGCTGGTAGTACTCCTCAACCTCCCCGGTCGAGATGAGATGGTCAGGCCTCTCCTCACGAGTCTCAGCTAACAGCTGTCCTACTCCAGCTAAATGATCTGTAGGCCTCCGCGCCTCTCTCTCTAGTGCCGTCCAGAAGGCCAGGGGCTGGTACAGAGAGTATAGGTCAGGGCTCCCGGTAGGTACAATGGCCCGCAGAACTCAATCAACTGGAGCCCTCGCTCGCCTACAAGAGGCCTCGCTACAAACTGCGCATACAACACCCAGTCCCTATCAGTGTATCCCTGGCAGAGGCCGTCCAAATCAAGTGCCGCAAAGTAGATCTCACCCAGACGCCTAAGTCCCCAAAGCTCCTCCGCCACGAAGCACGGAAGTGTGACTCGCAGTTGACTGCTGGGATATGGGAAGTGTCCTCCAATTCTGAAGGTCGTCGTCACTCTCCGAACTCCCCCGTGCAGCCGCTCTACCTCGCCGCGCGCGGTATCCGCTCTAGCCAGTAAGATCGCCCTCGCGGCCTGCTCCTCTCGCCAATGATGGTGTACGAGGCCGTGGTA